TTGCCAATCTCCTCGACAATTTGAGCAATTAGCACCCAACTGGTTACATGAGGTAGATCCAAATCAGAAAAAAAAAAAAAGAAAAAGCAAGCTGGGTCCCCAACACTTTTTTTTTTGCCTCTATTTAAAATGTTTTAAGGGTTCTATGTCAGTCGTGAGAAGTGGAAGCGATGGCACCGTCTGAAGCGAGCACGGAACTCAAGAATGGCTTTTTTTTTTCTTTTTTTGGATGTAAATTTAAGTGTTAAAATCACAATCCTCCTTCAGGCAGAGATTTTGCTGGCGGGGGGAGGGAGGAGAGTATGTTCAACAACAAAAAAAGCTGGGATTTGGGAAAGCTTGTTTGGCATTGGCTGCCAGAGGAACCCGAGAGCCCACGACAGCCAGTGCCTGAAGAGGCATCACAGTATAGAGCTGCAGGTGCCCCCTATTCCCCAGGTGAGACGACTTCCTTTACTAACATTTAAGCTTTACACCTCCTCGTGTTAAACAGTATTTTTGCATACTCTGAGAGAAAAATCTGACTAATCCATTGTTTTGTTAAGGCTTAGTTTAAAGTGGCGTCGCCACACAAATGCTCCCCTACGAGATACACACGGGAGGTGAACTACACACACACACACACACACACACACACACACACACACACACACACACCTCGAGACACCCCACGGCTGGAGGAACACAAAGCAACAGGTACAACCCATGTGGGAACTCCTACAACAGCAGGGATGCACTCAGAAGTCAGTTGAGGGTATTTCTGGGTTTGTTTTTGCATTACAAGTGCTACTCTTACCCAACCAGCACTACATCGGTTATATGCAAGAACAAGACAGTTCAACACAGATGCAACACACACACAAACTAAACACACATTTAGTACCACTTGAAACGACCTTAACATCAGAGCTTTTTCTTTTTTTCCTCCCCCCCCCCCAAAAAAAATAGTAAACTTTAAGTGGCCATAAAAACATTTTGATTCTTTAAGGGAACATTTACAATATGAAACTTTTGAGTTGATTTTTGGTTCTTTTTCAGTTATTTTATTTAAAAAAATAAGATTTTGAAACTATTAAACAAAAGATTAAAACCTTAACAGATGTCAGTTAAATGTGCAATGTACCAGGATTAAAGAGAAAAAAGAAATATGGATTTAATGAATACATTCTGTTTCCGTCTTGCCCTCCCGAGACTGAATTAACCACTTTGCTGCACAGAAATTGGGGCTGGATCTTCAATTATCAACTGCCCTAAATGCTGAGACTTCTGTGATTGTACAAACTAATAAAACACTGAGTAAGCCAGGGAAATTGTGCTTATTATTTCCAGCAAAATACTGCCTTTCTATCTTTTATAGACAGTCTATAAACTGTCGCCTTTCACTAACTGTGTGTAAACTCACACACACAAATGGATACACACACACACACACACATCTATAAAATCTACTAAACTTTATCAACAAATTACAGAAAGCAAGCGGTAACACTCTTCAGGATAGCACAGAACTTTGCCAAATGTAATTCCTCATTGCACCTCAGTGAAAATTTGATTTTCCACGATACGTGTTTCTGAAACTCACTCCTTAATGGGTTTTGATGGTTTGTTTGGGGTTTTTTCCCCCCCTTGTTTTTGTTTGCTTTAAAATGAAATTACAAAGATGCCGCTTATGAGATGAGCAATTGAAGGGTTCGGTCATATTAAGTTCCATGAGGAAACGTATCAGGAATAACAAAATTTGGGTCAATATATGTATTTTTTTCAATAGTATAGAAACAGTTGCATCTGAGCATCTCACAGCTGATGCAGAATTAACTTTGGTGAAATCTAGAAACAAACTTCATTGCATGTCCTGTTGATACACGAGGACTCTGATCCAACCCACAGCACATGACCCCATAGCTGAGATTTTGCATGTCCTGAAAGCCCAGCCCTGACCTGCTCTGAGTCAAGTACATGGCAGGCAAAAATGTGCAATTTTACAGATACTGGCACGAGTAAAGTTCCTCTATTCATGGATTTAAAACCAGGAAAAGCTGATAAATACAGAAAAGAGTCCACATTATATTTTTTTTTCCCTGACAGGAAATCTAACCTAACAAAGCAAACACAAACAGCACCAGCCAGGGGATTAGAGGCTCCCAAGCTTTGCCTGCTGACCTGTTCACCATTCATGCTTGCCAAGCACACTCAAAAAACCCCCGTAAGATGGCCAGGAAAGTTTCAATTTAGTTTTTGTGGACAATTCTCAGACAGGATCAGCAATCCCTGCTGATGAGCAGGGAGCAGTTATTCCAGCAGGTGGTTTAGTTGTGCTAAAGAAGGCGGGGAAAAACAACAAAACTAAAGCACCCGGTACAACAGCACATCCAAAAATGTGGGAAAAACACAACCAAAACCTGCACACTCCTAAGAACCTTAGAGAAAAGAATATGCCCTTTGATACAGACCTGCCATGCAATCCTGGGCTCTCCAAAATCCCACAGGGAGCTTTGGTGGAAGAGCAGCCACAGGGAGTTTTAAGATGCATCTGTAGAGGCAGCGCATGGACAAATCCAAAGCAATTGCTCTTCTGGGGATATTTAGGTGGGAGGGAGGAGCAGCCACCCTTCACCTGGTGCTGTGGGGTCGTAGCACTGACATGTGCAAAAATCTCAAAACGAGCTCTTGTCAGCCTCTCTCCCCTTCAAATCCAGCAACGCCCCTGTCCTGGCTCCAGCCAAACCCAAAGTTCTCGGACACGGAGCACTGACACCACAAATCACCTCGAGGAACTCCCTCCCAACACTCTTCCCGTGGGGAAGGGGCCAATGGATGGGTGTGGGGAAGGTGGATCTGTGAGGGGACTGGCAGGGAAGCCAGAAGGGAAACCAAGAATTAAACAGTCACCTTAACAAGTGCTTAATTAGCAATTTTGCAAGAAAATGCTTCCCTTGGCTCCTCAGTTCATCTCCCCAAGGGAGGGGGTGCCTGGCATTGCTCTTCCCTACAGCATGACCAGCATCCAGGATGGGGCTCTTCCCTTGCCTAAACTTGCTGATGATCCCAGGTTTGCAGAGCTAGTCTGGGAAGCACACAGCCCCCCTCCCATCAACAAGGGAGAGGCCATTCCAGCATCCCTGCACACTGAAACCCCCGCCATGCCACAACAGCAACAGTGGCCATGGAGCTGCAGTACAGGATATAGTGAAATACCTTCTCAAAAGCAGCCATTTACCCTGTACTTCACACTTTTGGAAGAGCTTCATTAAATGATAACTGAGAACTGAACCAAATTTTGGGGATTTTACCCCATTTGGTTATTAATGAGCTGATTTATAATGATTTATTCAGTCACTCACACAAACTGGCTCCTAGAAAGTCAGAACTTTAGCAATCCTCTAGCTCATCCATGGATGACCTTCATTAGTGTCTACACCCAGCAATCAAGAAGAAATTGCAGGGAACACAGAATCCCACCAAACTCACTCCTGAGAGGCCAAAATCCACAGCACAAAGCCCAGTTACTTTTGAATAAAACTAAACTCTAACACTGCTATGAAACCACACCAGCACACTGTGCTCCAACAGGCAGCACTTCTGCCAGCAGGGTGGTTCATTCTGAGAAAGCTTGTTTGGATTCATTGTAAACAAAGTCTGATGTATTAGCACAGTTTTCTACAGTTTCACTTCAGGTCACTTAAAGCACCTTCAGTCCATATGTACTTCTGTCAAGGCTGAGTTTCAGCAAAGACTTTGCAGAGAGCTGACATTAGTCACAAGATGAACATACCCAGGCTTAGGGTTGTTTTTTGGTGTTTTGGTATGGGGGGTTTTTTTGCTCGTTTCAAAGTTTATAATTTTCTGAGAAGGGAATAAAGTATTCTCACTCTTACAGTCTCATGTCAAGTTATCTAAAAAATACATTAAAAAAATAATCCAATACATTGTTTTTTGCCTCAGATTCAAAATATATTTCAAGCACCTTCATGTCATTTTCAGTGAAAACCTGAAGTACAGAAACATTTTTCATTTGGAAAAACAGTACAGAAACTCAAGTGAAGGGAAAGGTTATGGAGGGAGCTGAGTTGGAAGGGACCCACAAGGATCAGAGTCCAACTCCTAAGCACTGGCCCAAACAGGGATTTTGGCTGCTTAGTGGTAAATTCACTTAAATTAATTCACCTGGAAAGGAATACAGGAGGTAGCCTTGGACTGCACCTGCTTCGTATCTAAGGAGTGTCACAAACTCATTTTGTAGTGATTTGGCCAAGCAATTACATTCATATCAACACTTCAGGCAAAGAAACACCTGTGACAGAGCAACAGGAACACTGACTGGGATCAAACGGATTCTGTGCCACACCACACACACACAGCATCCCCTTCCCACATCCCTGGAATCAAACCACCTCAGAAATGCATCTTTCCAGTCATCAGCCCTCCAAACCAGGCTGGTTTGCATCCTAACTCTGGACAAGGGGGCTGGAGTTGGGGTCTCTCCCATTCCTGAGGCAGATGGAAGCAAAAGGCAAATGCTGAGGGATGGGAAATCAACCAGAGCCAAGATTATTCCTTATCTCAGAGCACTAAAACATCCACTGCACTCCCCAATCCCACAGCCACGGAAGGACAGACAGCAAGACACTGTAACTTGGATCCCAAATTCCTGTTATTCCACTAATTCTGCCACATACAGTGGTTCTGCTTCTACGACACAAGGATCAGATGCTGGAATAAGCAAGAAAAACCTGTGACAGCTACAACTGATAATCCAGATATTGCATTAATGCTTTTAGTCATCTCACTGACACCAAAATTGGCATTGGAATGTTGCACAGGCAGCGAGCACATGGAGAGCTTAAAAACTGCATCTCTGTGGTGCGGGAGAAACGTGCACAGAGGAGAGAAGGAAGAAATGTTTTATAAATTCAGGCAAACCCCAAATACTTCCACTGTAATAAAGCAACTGTGCCCTTCTTGAATTGATACCATAATGCAAACAAAGTACAACAACACTCGACACTGTAAAATATGGCAGTATTCTGGAAAATAGAACCAGGAATGGTATCCCCAGCATTTCAGTATTTGCTGTAAGAGCACTATTTACAGTATTTTTAAACAGCTACAGCAGATGCAAAAAAACCCCAAAGAACACAAAGAAGTCTTACAGTAAAAAGAGAGTTTGAAAAAAAAAACAAATCAGTGCAATTACCTTCTACTTGAAGTTTTCCTTAGAAAAGATGGCATGTGTGCATGAAGAAGCATGTTACCAAATGGATATAAAAGTAAAAAACAAAGGACTGCCCTGCATTAGGAATGGGGAAAGCCACACTGGCAGGACTCATACACAAAGAGAGATGCTATGGCAGAAGAACACTAAAAAAAAAAAACAAACAGGAAAACAAGTGATTTTAATTACACTGGTCTCGAGTGTGAAAAATACTGAGAACTCTTCTTACATTCATTTATTTAATGTGTAAAAGATGTCCTAAAAAAAAAAAGTCCCTAATGGTTATTTATGCCACCAGAGATGCTTATTTGACTGAGTCCAGAGCAAGTATGTCCATCTGATCTCCCAAGGTCCCAGTCTTGCATTCCCAGCACATGCAGTCCTGAATAAGCAGAACCTGCAGAACCAACCTGTCCTCTCTCCCAAAGATCAAGATTTTCCTCAAAAAGAAACAATCTGCAAGTCCACTAAAATCCCTACAACAATCCACTGAATTTGGCTGGGGGGTGTTAACATAGGCCTTGCTCTCAGTTAAATTTTGGATTTATGGGCATGAGGAAAATGGGAGTTCCTACAGGTGAGACACAGGTGAGCCTGTGTTTGAGGGATCAGCTGCTGCAGCAAAGCAAAGAGCGCTGGCAGCAATCAAAAAGCCCTCAGACCAAAACCTTCAACTTCATCAAAAGCCTTTGGGCATATGTACAAAAAAACCTTAGAAGCATCTTAGAAACTTCAGTCTTTTCAGAAAATAACTTGGGCACACAAAACTCCAAACTCCTCACACCTAGAGTTTAAATTTTAAAACCCTTGTGGAAATATCTCATGTTATAAAAATATTCCAACAAGAACAAGACTCTGTTCAAATGGACGAAGGCTGCAGGAGTTATTGACAGAGGCAGAATTAAAGCTAAACCTTCACAACCTTTTTGCTTTTACAATCAGGGAACGCTGCCTGGGGGCCTGAAAGGAGATCAAAGGTATTTGTTACGGATTTCAAAAGTATTTACTATGGATTTCTTGTTTTAAACATCAGTTTCCTTAAATTTTCCATGTTGGCCCCGGCAGATTAAGACAGAAGATCTTTCCCTAACAACAAACAGCAAACTCAGCCGAACCTGACAGATCTAGAAACGAGGGGATTAATGTGCCAAAGCTCCTGGGACACGGAAGATCATTGATTGTGATTCACAAAGTCAAATATTCCAAACCAAGCCAAGCCAAAATAAGGAGCTCTGATAAAACAAGGGATCTCCCTCGGTCCGTCAGTGCACACACACACTGAGGGGTTACATTGCATAGGGGCTGTCTGAAATGCAAACTCACAGAAAGGCAGAGACAAATCCACCTACTTCCAGCATTTCCCAGCAGGACATTTTCTCCTAAGGATCAACTCAGCTGTTTCCTGGGTGCTAGAACAGATGGAATTGGACACATTATCCTATTCAGCCCCTGGAGCAGAAATTTCCACCACCAGGCAAACCTTGTTATTGCATCAGTTTTCGCACATTAGGGGGAAAAAAAAAAAAAAGAGAACTTTTATGTGTTTTACATCTGCTGATAGTACTTTTTACCTCCCAAGGGGAGCATTTTGTCCTTGCTAATGCTGGTTTTTGGGGGGTTGTGCAGTGGGAGTCACACGACTGGAAAATACCCCAAGTGCCCGGGGGTGACACGTTTGGTTATTGCTGCCCTGAGCTGCACAGTGATTACAGCTGTGACCTCAACTGGGACTGCTACAGGAACCTGGGTGACACTGAGACTTCTTCACCTTTGTGTTGACCTGAGATGTTGCTGTTCTACACCAGACACGTGGGAGGTAAGGAAAACAAAATAGTAGGATTGTAGGTGTTCAAGGTGGGGTTTTTTCACAGGAGACATTCCTGAATACGTAATTTATATTAAGAATAATCCCAGAAAGAGAGCTGCTGGACTGCCAGCATGCTGTACTTTTCAAAGTATATACTTCATCAGTGTTTTTCAGAAAAATGCTTTAAATTATTCAGAAATTCATCACTGGTGGGAGGGGAAAGGAGGGAGACATCAAGGCATAAAGAATTAGCAGTATTAGAGGCTTAGAAAGATCTATAAAGGGTAAAAATGTCCTGAAATGCACATAACCATCCCAAGTTCTTCATACTCAGGGAAGGAAAGCTACACAAAATTTCTGCTAATTCCAAGAAGATACACGGATGACAGCTACTCTCAGATTAAGGGCCTGCCTAAAACACCTTTTCTCACAAAGAAAACATCCTAAATAGGATGCAGTGAAGTCCCACAGTCTGCTTCAGAAATGAGATTTGAAGTCAAGACAGATCCTGCCCTCCTTGCCCCATCTGACCACCTGTACAAGTCATTTATCCCAGATCTGCATGGAAAGAGGGGGATGAATTTCACATCCAAGAGGTCTCTGCATAACAGCAAGATAAACTAAATGGTATCTTAAAACAGATGGTCTTTTTCCTATGTGTTAAGAACAATTCATATAAAAAAATAATTCTTATATAGAAACTCTTGCCAAATTAAAATCTTCACTGAAATAGGAAACCTCTCAAGGAAAGACAGGGAAGTGCAACACACCCACCATGGGAAGGTTCTGCAGTTTAGGGGTGCTTGGGGGGAGGTAGGTATAACCTGGCTGGGACACAGCAAGACAGACAGTGCTACCTAAGCTTGGCTTAAGATTTGCTTAAATCTGCATTTATATAACTATGACCAAGAAGACACTCTGCCCCAGCAGCCTAATCACCAAATTAGAATAATACAAACACAATGATTCCATTAATAGTTTTTACATCTCACTCAAAAAACACCAACAACCAACACAACTGCTACAAGGTGAAGATCTGAACTTGCACAAAATTATGTACCTAAAAGTCTTTATGCAGCAAAGGTTGGGCATTTTCTAGCTTATCCAACAACAACTGGTTGCAGTGGATCTGCTCCATGGCCCAGAGCACTGTGTGGGTTAAAGCTACTCGCCCGTCCCAGTGGCCAGAGGTAAAAGTATCCAAACGAGACTGAGCAGCTGCTCAGAGAAAAGGGAAAAAAAGCAAAATCCATCAGTGGAAGAGAATGAAAATTTTCAAACCTGCCTCTTTAGCACGTTATTTCAGTTTTTCTATGGCAAAACAAACAAGATCAAGTCAGCAAAAACAAGTTTTCTGGGCTTTTTCCATTTTCTCCTAAACCTGCCTGTGGCATTGTAATTAGTGCAATGGTTTACATGTGTGTTATGGTTTTTATGAATCCAGTGTGCAAACTAACAGAAGCGTCTGTCTAGAAATTATCAGTTGTAATTAATGCTTCTCCTCAGAGAATGGCAAAACTCTCACATTTCCTATGGACCTCATGCATAATGAAGAGAGTTTCACCTCCCTCCCTAAGTAAACTTCAGTTTTCCTCTGATTTATCTTTACTGCATAGATTCTCTGACTTCTGTCTAACCTGCAGCGAGCCGCTCTTCCCTACTGGAGCTCCTGCTTCACCAATCTTCAACATATAAATAAAATACAATTGTTTTGTGCTTGAATGAACGGAGGGTGTTGGTCTCGTGTGCGTCTCTGAACCGCAGAGGTAAAACCTGCTGTGTTGTGTGCACGGTTGAAAAGCCTTTCTGCAAATCCCAAGCTACAACAGACACTGTTTGTATCTCTGAGCTCTCACCACCTTGATTGCATATTTTTGCATTTGAAGAGTAAATGTCCCCACGAGAAGGTTTTCACTTTCTAAGTTCAAAGCATTCTTGATATGTTAACAGAAGTATAATGAGCACTCCTTAGTAAATAAAAATAAATAATAGCATCTAGTCTATCACATTAATACTGTGAAACATATATAAAATTTACATTAACTCAAACTACAGTGAAAAAGGATTGTACTGTATTTATCACCACAGACCCGTATTCTTTATAGACTTTGGAAAGTAAGTGTCACAGTCCTGTATGACAAATCCTAAAGTTAGCTGTCAGTATGATTTTTAAAAAAATCTTTACAAGTTTTTTAAATGGCACATTTTCTTTTGCCAATCTAACTGGAGCTATTAAAAGCTTAGGTACAAGTTCATTCCTTTTTTTTTTTAAATTTATCTTTAGCCTATGAAAAACATTTTCAAATGCAGCACAATAAAAAACATTCAAGAACAAGCTTCAGAAAATACATTTGCCCTTAGACACACAGAGAATAATCTGAGAATAATCTTTATAAGACAGTTGAAAACCAGGATTTTGTCACTCTCTTATTTTGAAAATAAAAATTTTGTAAATTCATCTAGAATAATCAAGGCTTCATAAATAGTAAAAAAATGCTTTGCTTTGCATTAAAAGCTAATTCACAGCATTTTAGCTCATCAAACCTTAGTATGAATTAGATCTTTCCAAATTATTAAAAGCAACTCAATGAACAGCGAACTGAATGAGGAGTTTTGTGGGTTGGGTTGTTGGTTTTTTGTTTGTTTGTTTGTTTTTTCCTTCCCTAAGCCCTGAGATTGCAGCTCTTGATTTAATTATAAAATGGGTCTGTTTTATACCAAGCAGCTTAGAGATTTTTTTGGCAAACCACATTTCCAACAATAGTGGGGTTTGGTACAAGAATGCAGTTAGTAATCAAGTCTGAAATTCTGGACGGAAGGCTTCCTTGCAAAACGGGAAAGAAAGGAATTAAGATGTGTCACTCATTGCTGGCTGCCCCTGGAGCTGGGGTTGGTCTAAGTGCAGCTGGTCTCGTGTGAATCCAACTCTGTCTCGTACGGAGTCGCTAAACATTAAAACATGTCAAGCAAAGTACATCGTGCGCAGCGTGTCCTGGTGAACTTGAACTGCCTTGGCAAGTGCTTGGTGGTCTCTGCCATTGCTCTGACCAGAAGTGTGGCTTCCTTCAGCACTGCAAGAGAAGGGAGGGGGGAAAAACAAAACACAACAGGTTGGGGGAGGAGGGAGAGGGGAAGAGAAACCCTGTTTAATCTGCCTCTCCTTGCAGATGTTTTTTGTATCGTTTGTTTCTTTTGAACAGAATGGTCAAAAGTTAATCACCCTTAAAGCACCACTGAAGTTGGGAAACAGAAAACAGCACATGCAGGTAAATCTGCCTTTTTTCGGCAGTGCAGTTCAGTGGTAACAGTAAAATTTCCCCTCAAACTGCTGAGGACACCATTGATTACAGACTTAGCAAGCCCATTGCCTTCCTGCTTCCTTTCAAATTCTGTAAGAATTCCAAAACTCTGGACTCACCTGTCGTGCTCTTTATCCACCAGATGGTACCTGGCTCTGAAGGCAACCAGGTGAGCGTAATACGCTGGTGCAGGGATGGACACGGAGCGGGTGCAGCGGACGTACGTGTGACACAGCTGATAGGTGAGGATCTGCAGCTCATCCGAGGAGAAACGATTGTCATCCCACAGGACATGGTAATGAGAGGGTCTGCTTGTTCCCTGGGGGCACAGGACACACAGGGACATCAGCTTTTCAAAAACATCTCCTTAAATTTCCACCCCTGCAGGTGAACTGCAGCGGAACGGCCGCTTCCTTAAAAATCACATGGAACAGTTCTACACATTTCAGCAAATTTTTCCTTTAAAAGGAAAGGCAAACAACCTCCTTCCTTGCTCCCCATCTCACTAATCCCTTTCTCCTTTTTGATAGGATTGTGTTTTCTAGAATTTCATCCCTGTTACTGAAATTAAATGGTCGTATTGAAATGCACTTTCATCTCGACAAACTTACGTCTGACAAAAAGCCATCAGATAACATTTTGCCTAAAGGTGCTTTAACAGCTGAAAAGTTACCATCCCACACAAAATGCCTTACCTGAATCCCAGCATGACTACACAGGTAAAAGTCAAACTCTGATGGGTGGGTGATTTTTGTGTCCACTGTGGTACCAGCTGGAATGTTTCCACTCTTTCCAACCTGTGGAACAGAAAATGCAGACAGTAAGGCACACAAAGATTTTTTTTTTCCTTTTCAGCTCTATAGCAAGGAAAAAACACAAGAAGAAGATCCATAAAAAGCAGAAAGTGAAGGAAGAATAAGCAAAACTGAAATTTTGTTCAAGTGAAAATCTGCAGTGTCTCTACTATGGAGGAAAAAAAAGAGACAAGCTGCAAACCTTCTTAGATATTATCTAAAAAGATCAGTTTTTCTGAATAATGTCAAAAGGAGCTTCTGCAACTAATTTGTCAAATTCTTTTCACCTTCCCACACCAGGACAGGTTATTCCTCTATAACTTTTCCTGTTTATACCTGAGAGGGGACAATCCTCAGTTGTCAGACAGGCTGCCTCTTCCCTGAAAAAGTCTTCAAAGCAGAACTAAAGAAATACTCTTTACTTTCAAACAATTTAACAACTGTGATCACAGCATTTATTAATATAACAACCACCTTCATGTCAGCATAAGAAGTTAATAATTATTGCCTTCAAACCTAGTGGGTTTCAAGTGCTCCCACAGAGAAGCCTGACAGAAGGAAAGAGAACATGAAGAGCCATATCTGTGAGCAGAGATTTGCCATTAGGAACTCTCCATTCTCAGCAGTAACTCCATCCTGGGCTTGGGGAGTCTCCTCTACACACAGAAAAGTCCCAAAAATCAGCAGCAACAGGTGCCTTGGCTGCCTGCTGGACACGTGCTGGTCACAATCAGAACATACCCGTTCGTTTTTATCCGTGCAGAAGAGCCTGGTGTGATGCCTTTTCTGCACAACTATAAATGTGATTCCAGGCTGATAATCCTTCTCTAGTTTAATGCAAGCCTCTCTGATGGCCAGCAGCTCGTGGTGCAGCACCTGAACCACAAACACAGAGAGGTGTGACAAATATGAACCACTGCAATCCCGCAGATTTATTTATCTACAGATTATTTATCATGTTCCTTCTTGCACTGTCACTCAGAGTAATGAGATGTCAAAGCATTCAGGATCAAACCTTAATTTTTTCCCTTAATGAGAACAAATTAGGTCACCAGTTTCCTGAGCCAGACGAGAGCTGCTTCCATATTTGTTCAGCTCCAAGCATTAGGCTCGGACTAATACACTGCATGTCAAAATCTTTTTAACTGCCAAATACAAATGAACATTTAATTAGGCTGTTGAATATACAGCAAACTAATTATTTTTCAGACTAGTACAAGGGATAAAATCCAGAATTGCTCAGCTGCTCTTTCCCAGCTTTGTGAAGTCTCATGCAGGACTACAGCCATCAATAAGGAAAGTGGAATAAACCACTTTTAGGTTAATTATACATTAAAAATTCAGTGAAAACCAGTGGTAATCGAAAAAAAAAATTTCACACAAAGATTATTTTATCAATTCAAGTTTACTAAGTGACCTTTACTCCCTTCTCCTTGGATTTTGAGAAGTTGACTAAATTCTGTATGTTTTAATTTACATACAAATACTGGAAAAGAAAGTGTATGTAAATATCTTTAAAATATATAGAAAAATATTTCATAAAATATGGTCTTTGCAAGTAAACAAAATAAATACAACAAAGTATCTGATGAGTTTTATCAGGAATTAATTAAAAGTGGCAGTGTGAAAATACACTACTTATTAATCCTGATTTAAAAAGTAGGAACATTAGTTTACACTTAATTTTTCTTTACTGCCCACATTCTATGTGATACAGGTCACAGATGTGGAACATAACTTGAATGCTAAAAGCTATACTTCATAATCTATTATTTGTAAAGGGAATTATTTTAAAGGGGAAAAGTATTTTAAAAACCACATGAAAAATATGGAAACACTTCTCCTGCCCTGCTTGGTTAGAACCCAACAAATCTGCCGAGGGAAGATTTGCTGAGGATGTGGGGTTTTTTTGCATAACTCAAATCACATAAAACCACATTACTACCAGTAAACTACATTTCAAAAAGAAAAACATCACCTGTTGAAACTGCCCCTCCGAAACACCGTCCCTGTAGAAGATGATGCGAGTTGGTTTGAATCTCGTTGATTTGTAGAACTGGATGAGCAGCTCCCTGACCATGGCAGCCAAATCCTGGATGATTTCCTGGCGGTGCTGCTGGACCCGAACGGTGGCACAGTATCGGTTGGGATGAGCGTCCATGCTTCCCACAACCTGGGGAAAAAAATGCTTAGTCTCGAACCAAAAAGCACTTTAATAAAGGGATTTCACAAGAAAACTGCACTGTCTTGCAAACTAAGTGGTTGACCTGGCAAAGATGGAGCTGAAACTAAAATGGGCTTGGAAAGACTTTGGAGTTTTGCCTGCCTGTGGCAACACACCCTGCTGAAAGGGAAAAACTTATTTTAAATCTAGAAGACTAACTTCCCATTTGCACCTACATACACTTAAAAAAAAAATCAAATACAATTTGGAGACCTGATATCATGAAACCATTGATTTAGTTCAGACTGCAGAACAGGAATTTGAACTCTGGAAGACCAAGTCCCTTTTTGGGACACTGGGGATAAGTCCATCAAACTGAAACACTGAGGCACTACAGAAATATCCACACCAAGGGAATGGATTTATGTTTATGAAACACCAGCATTCAGTGGCACAAGATTTAAAAATAAACAGAAAATAAAGTCCAAATTCCATATTTAAGGAGTCAGAACCAACCACATCTCAACCTGGTTTTCCCTGGACACACAGGTGTAATAACTTTCTAAAACAGGTATTTGTTTACTTAGCACTACAGGCTATGATACTGCACATACCATCGAAGATCTTCATTATTAAATAATCCAGAGCAGCCATTACAGGTGTTTGACAGTGTCCTATATTCAAGAGCACATTTCCAAAAGATCACTGCACATTCTGTGTTGTCAGGAAGCCTGAGCCCCCAAAAACCACAAGTGAGCCAGCCTAGTTCCCTATCAGCAGTGAAGAAATTCTTAACATTTCTTACTGCTGAAGAAGCAGATTTAAACATGCACCAGCTCATTACAGGCTGCTGATAAATATCAGCTCCCAGGAAAGCTCCTCTGTGCAAGAGCAGCTCAGGCATTTTACAAGCTAATACACCCATTTAAGTAATTAGCAGCAGAGCAAGCTCTCTGAAGTTTCATTAGATTCCTGCAGAAAAATAATTTATAATACTATAATTAGGCAATCAGAAGCAATGGACCACAAATGAACTGAAAGCAATAAACTGAATTAGAGCTGAGCAGCAGGAGAGAGCTGGGGTTAAAGATCAGGACACAATTCACTCACTGCAGCAATGGAAGGCTTTTTCCCATCTCCAGCTGGTGGGTGAGTTACGTCTGCACCAAGGAATATGACAGGCTGCTGGAATACTGGGGGTCTGGCAAAGAGAGAGGAAATTTGTAAAAGCAGCAAGATTTCTACTTAATAAAGCACATTAAAACTCCAATAAACAGCGCTCTGTACTCCTGCAGTGAATTCCTCAACAACTGGCACTTGAGCAGACTTGATCACTTGTCCTGTGGCAGTGATTAGAAATCCTGATTAAGGTTCTCATACTAAATACTTGGGCAGATTTTTAAAGCACAGCTAATTGCTACTCTTAATTACAAATTACTTTAAAAATGTATCTTTTTTTTAACTTGGAGAATTGGAGCCTTTATTAATCAGACCATGGAAAAGAATAAAAGTTGATCTCTTAGCATCAACTGGCATCTGAGAAAATTAAAGGACTGTGAAATATAAAAGATGCTATGAATAAAAATATTTTTTCTGTGTTGGTGAAGAAGTACAAAAATTGTAGCTACTAAAATTATTATTTTAAAAGTAGATTTTTTAAAAAGTATGCTTCAAAGCTTTAAACAAACCTTTAAGTTATTAATCCACTGCAACAAGAGCAGAACACCACAACATTACAATGCAAGTTTTATGCTTCAACTCTGTCTCTTTAAAGTTGTTTTATTAAGGAATAATCTTAAGCCATCACCAGAATTTTTTTGTGTGTATGTGGGTGTGTAGGGGAGTGGTTAAATGGTTATGGAGATAAATTAAGCTGTTTGCAGACCTTCTCTAAAAGAAATGGGAAGGTAATTATAACAATGTAACATGCAATGCCAGTTCTATTCCCATTTCCTCAGCCAACAGAAAATAATAATTAGCGAGTTCTGTTTTCAATACCCAAAACCTGTTTTTTTACAGAATGCCAAGGCCTTGTGTGTAATTGTGCCATTTTTCCCCTTTACTTAACTCCGTTTTCACAAAAAATAAACCCAAAACCCAACAAACCCTCCACCACTGTGCCTTTCTGAATCACACACTCTGCAGTGCGATGATTTCAGGTGCTTTAGCAGGAGGCTCCAACAAACCCAGGATGAGTCTGTTGAGTTCAATACACAGAATTTAACAAGATACACAGATATACACCCCTTTGATAATGTGTGCTTTTTCTTCTTCCCTAAGTACTTGTTGGATTACTTTTGAGCAGGTGCCTCCTGACCAGCCTAAATACGCTTAAGTGAAAATTTGCTTATCAGTGCAGAACAGAATGTTGATTTCTCTGAACCAGGCTCCCAAGAATGATGTAGCAGGTAATTCCCTGAGCTCTCTCTGCAACTTGGAAATATAATGATTGTAAAAATGCCCTCTTTTTACTGATGTAGAGACACAGTTGTTCATTTTGATTGAAGTAACTTTATGTATCTTTACATTAGGCTTCTCTATCCTGCACAGGTAAGAAAAAACAAGCTGTATTTTGTCCATTCTTCCATTAGAATTTCTTGTCACTGATTTTTTAATAAAAATGGTGAAAAGTTTCAATTTGAGAATGTTTGTTTTAAGATGTAAAAGGCAGGGTCTCTCTTTTTTTGACAAGCAGCATTTGTTTCACTCCCTCTCAACTACACACAGGACTTCAGGGACACATCAGATACAGAATTCAGTAGCAGCAAGATAACTTCACTGAATTATAGTCACAGTATAATCAAACCTTATCAATGTAACACAAGTAAGAAATTGCAAGTTAAACTGGACCTAGAAACCAATTGAGTTTTCTGCTCCCAGCTTTTGGTTCTTTAAATGACTGTGTAAGTTAAGACATACAACAAAATGAAGAATTTTGACCACAATTAAACTATCAAGGAAAAGGCACTACTCTTCTAGAGGGTCTCTGCTTCTTTCTGAAAACTCAAGGCAAGCAGAATATTACAGATTTCTCATTCAAGTGGAAGTTGTGCTCTTCAATGGTCAGATCGTGATAACAATATTTTTATTATAAATTCCAACAGAAACAAGTATTCCTCTCCAGTCTGGGGAACCTAACTTTTGCAGGACTACTTATGAGAAGCCAAAAGAGAGTTTGTCTGAAGAGTCTCTTAAGCTACAGGGCTACGACTGCAGATAAAAGCACCCAGTTATCTCAGTATGACGCACGTTCGCTTTACAATACAACCCCCTCTTCCTTTTTGAAAGATGACTTACCTTCCCTGTGGCAGCAGAATGTTATTTACGCCTCCTAATTTGACATTTATTTTTAAGCAAAGGTTAGACAGGGTTTGTGGTGTTGTTCTCTGGACGTTTTTCATCTGAACACACTGTGTGGCCATTCCCAGCACGGTGTCGCCAACGCGCTTCACCTCCGCTGCAGAACAGGAAAAAACAAACAGAAAACATTGGCAAATTGCAAATCAAACCACGCAGGAGACGTGAATTCAGTGCCAATTAACTTAACCTAGAGTTGTAGCAAAGTGGTCATCACGCTTAAAGGAACAAGGCAAAACCTAACCCCAAAACCCAACGCAGCCTCCAATGAACCTCCCCCCAGTCCTGCACTGTTCCACCTTCCCAGTGACTAAATATAATAACTAAAGGCACTGTTGGCTTATATATTAACTAAGATTTTTTTTTAATTGTTATTTTAGAATTATAGTGTTATATCATCACCTTTAGTTAATGATGTGGGTAATATCAGGATGATGAGCGGTTGTTTCATTATTAAACACTGGACTAGTAACACAAACCTAACAGTAATGTGCTGAGTAACATTCAGCCAACCAGTTTATCAGTTCATCACTGCAAGTTTATCACTTGCATAGAAAGTGGCCAGTTCAGCAAAGGATGGCCCATAAAAACTCAAAAAAACTCATGAAGTACTGTACAGTTTCAAAGGTTAAAACAAATCCTATCGTTAACAACAAAACTAAGACTTAAAGGCTTTGAGAGCCGTACTCTTACACTCAGGGAGGAAATTTAGGGTCCCAGACTGGCTCAGAGAGGATGCAACTCCCCACTCTGGTAACAGGAGAGGAAAAGAGCAGGGTGGGAAGAGGAGAAAAGACAAGGCTGTGGGCATAGGAAGTGCAGGGCAGGGAAGAGTGCAGGGAGAAAATAAGGAGAGATGATTAGAGGGGGCAGAAATAACTGCAATTAAAGATAATGACAAGGAAAGCAGATGAGAACGGTACCACATCCTCTCAGTGGTTAAGTAAAGGAAAGAGTTCCCTTTTAATGCCAAGCAGGAAAAGTGAAAATGCCATTTTGCACTGAATTTCTATTGAACAGATTAGAGATGAGCCACTTCCTTTGCAAGGCTGAATTCAAGGGGAAAACAAGGTACTATTTCCTTAAGGTTCCTTGTTTAATCTCTCCTTTCATCTTGTATGAGATAATCTTAAGTTTAGAAAATTATTTTGTGTTATGTTAAATTGGTGAGGTTGAGGGAGGGGATAAAACAAATCTGCAGCTGCTTGGTAGATCTGAGCCATTAGAGAAGAGAGTCCATGAAGCCAGAGAAGAAAAATAGTGGGTGCTGCTCCAACAAGGCAAGGTAAGTGAAAAGGGGATAGAAAAACAAGCAGTCTTGCCTTTAGGAAGAGCTGGTTCAAACCAAAATGCATGATTTCTCTAAAACATTAAAACCTGTGTGTGTGTGCTATGCAAAATGCACTGACTGTCCCTCTGTTTCCAAAAAACAGTTTAGCTGGTCGAGCTTTCACTTTGCACGCATCTGCACCCTCGCAACCAGAGTTAAAAAACTGAAATAATAAGAAAACCAGACAGAAATCTTCTCCTTCACTCAACCATTTTGAGTTCAAATGTGTTTGGACGATGCTCTCAGGCACATGGTTTGACTCTTGGGGCTGGTCCAGTGCAGGGCTAAGAGTTGGACTCAATGATCCTTGTGGATCCCTTCCAACTCAGCATCTTCTGTGATTTTTTGCCAAAGGGTGATAGCGTGAGTAAGCAAAGATGTTCTAAAAGCTACACGGTTCTTGAGGTCATTACTTCTTCAATCACTTGGAATCTTCAGCACACAGGTTACATTAAGAATATTTTAACCCACTGTGTACCAATTTCATCAATCTCACCAAAGGTCTGGTTTAGCTTTCTCACTCACAACCTACATCTCAAATGCAACCAGCAGGAAGAATGTGGAAAAACAAATTAAAAGCACAGAAAAAATAATTTAAATAATTAAGCCTTAATATGAAACATCATGCAGCACAAGAAGTATAATAAAAGTAATTTACAGCCCGTTCCCTAAATGGAATTTATATAGTTAAACCAGCATTAAACCTCTCTCATTTGGTTTATTCCCAAAAACCACATGAAGTTGTGACTGAAACACACAATTTCCACTTACTGACCATAGACTGGTGTTTTTCCTGGCAGAATCACCACGACAAGCTGCAGCCCAGTGTAAGTGTTCTTGAGGTGTCTGAACATGGGCTCCACGCTGTCGGCTCCCTGCGCGTATTTACAGAAGCACGGCTGCCCCTGGATTGGCATTCCAGCATCCCTGGAAATCTTCCTCAGTTGTTCTGTAAAGGACCTGAAGGATGTAAATAAATACATCAGATTCTCAGGTAGCAAAACTCATCTCGATTTTTGTTCTTATTTTTAACGGAACAGTCCAAAAACCTGAAAATTTATCCCAAGTGTATCTTTAATCGTCTATGTAGTCATGGAAGGAAAAACAGGAAATACGCTGCATAAATAGCACCATTAATAAAAACATCATTTCCAAAGCAAATTCCACCTGATTTCATCTTTCTACAGGAGATACAGTATAAGCTACTCTTTTTCAAAAACACTGCAACAATGACATTTTGGATAGCCCGCTCCACCTTTAGTGGTACTAAACTACAGAAAGGGCTGGACTTCCTTCTTCTTCTTCTTAGTGAGGAAAACAACCAACAGAAGTTACCAGCAACTGTCTCAGTGAATTGATCTAACATCAATAATAAAGCACAAGGAAAACTTGCTAGATACCAGAGAAAAGGTGTATCCTGGAGGTGAAGACAAACCTTCTCCAAGGACAGTGCAAATATAAGTAGATGGTCAGAAATAGGGACAATCCAAGTTTTTCAGAGGCTTCCACCAGTGAAGCCTTTTTAGCTCACTGATAAAAGCCCCCTTTATGTTGGAGTGGGTGCCCCCACAGGTGTCTAAATTGCTTCACCAAAGGGTGCCAAGGTGCCACCCACTGAGAGGGTGTGAAGATTTAGTTTCTTCCAAACCCTTTGTTAACTTGCATGAATCATAACAGTGTGTGAGCTCCAGCCCTGCAGCCTGGGGCTCCTGGCAGAAAACGGGCACGTTAAGTATTTCCCCTGGAAAAACAGACACTCACCACTATAGCAGAGTCAGTGGCAGAACATCTCCCTGTCCCTGGAAGTGTTAAAGGCCAGGTTGGATGGGGCTTGGAGCAACCTGGTCTAGTGGAAGGTGTCCCTGCCAGTGGCAAGGGGGTGGAACAAGAAGAGGTTTACTCTCCCTTCCAACTCAAATCATTCTGTGGTTTTAACATTCAAGTCTCATGGCTCAAAACCTGAGCTGTTCTAGAAGTCCATCTGGAAGTAAGGTGTCTAAGGTTTTCTTTTCTGCCTGTTCCCAAGAGGTAAAGCAGGATGATTAGGAAGACTCTTAGGGAATTCGAGGGTTTACTCTGACATATCTACAGCATTTGAGTTCCAACTTTCTCAATAAGTTGTAACAAGAGCCCACAAGATGGAACTGGACACAGCCATATTCCTTGCATGGAGAAATGTCCTCTCCTGGTAAGGACCATCTCCATCTAAGCCATCAAATAATTTCATTTTGGTTCACTACGTTGAAGAATTCTGCCTATTTCTCAAAACTGAATCACTTCACTTATGCAGCATTTCCACTGGAAGAAACAGCATGGAAGGGAAAATTCCATGGCAGCCTCGTTCCTACCTTCTGTCTGGAGAGAACAAGTTCCTCCCTTACACAATGGGCGGTAAAAAGTAAGATTCCCACCCTTTGCTCATCACTTGTCAGGGAAAAATTCCCAAGCTATTTGGCAAATCATCTGAAGGAACCCTGCTATGGCAATACCACTGGTATGAGCAGCCACTGCCCTGCATTCACCTCACAAAAAGAAGGTGAGTCACCCGCCAGGGCAGCTCCAAAAGCAGCACTTGTCCATGCACAAAGGGAAAGCAGCTGTGTGTGAAAGAAGGAACCAGGCATCCACCCACGCCTGCACACCTTCCCTGATCCAAGATGGTAGATGTCACTTTTAACAACACTCTTTCAACTATCATATTCCATCCAAAGATAAAGAAACCAAATCTGAAAGTTTCATATAAATGCTCAAAGTCAACAAAACAACTAGTCCTACTCATCTGGCAAATACAGCAACTTGCACAATCCAGGAACTCTAAAGGGGAAAAAGTTTTAGACAAAAGTTGGATTGCTTTTTAATTTTCCTTTTACATAAGGTCTGCACAAATAAAGCTATTCCAACCAGGAATAGAACCAACAGAACATACATGTTAGCTTTCACTCTTGACAAACACCTATCACTGGTCAGAAACCTGCCATAGAGCATAAATGGCTTTTGTTAAGTCTGATTTGCAGGATTTCCTGATGCTGGCATTGAAATCATACTGGCATCACCCAAAGAGAGACAGAACTTCAAAAGCACTGTTAAAGATGTACTTTAACATATGTTAAACAATTTAACAAAATATATATTCTAAATGAGTAAGTGAAATCATGACACTTCCATCCATAATAATTAATAAAATCACCATCTTACAAAACACACTTACTTCAGATGAACTTCAGTGCACTGGCGCTGGGGAGCAAAGCACGCGATTGCCCAGACCTTTATTTCAATCCCAGTGTGAAATTGTTTATTCCTCATGTCCCAGACTCCTTGAACTGGTGTAGCAATTGCTTTATTCTGGAAGTGCAAGGAAAAAGAAAATACAATAATAAGGCAAAACTTGATTTATGCTAAATAAAGAGTAGTTATGTTTCTAGTTCCCTCCACCTGGCAGGTGATTTGTACTCTCAGATCTTTCTCTTCCCTGTGCAAATATCCATCCTATCTTTTAACAATCATTCGATCCGTGTAGCAAGACAGCTTGTTAACTGGTGAAAAATAAAGCCCATATTGTTCATTTTTATTGGTGATCATTTCCTTTGGCTGCATAAATCAGCAGCAGATTGAAATTAGTTACGGAGAGTAAGTCAGATTCACCTGGTATGGAACATTAATGGGAACCTACATTTCTACAGTGGCACTTTACAACTGCTCAGTGAACTTTTCCAAGAGGGACCTAATTTAAGTATTATGAATATTTTGCACATCACTAAGTACTGGTAAATAGTGAAGCATGGAATACCCTGAGCTGGAAGGGACTCACAAGGATCATCCAAGTCCAACTCCTGGCCCTGCACAGGACCAAGAATCCCACCATGTGACTGAGAGCATTGTCCAAACACTTCCTGAACTCTGTCAGGTTTGGTGCTGTGACCACTTCCCTGGGGAGCCTGTTCAGTGCCCAACCACCCTTCTGAGTTTACACAGACACATTTTTAACCCAGCTTTGCTTTCAGAAATAAGGAAGCAACTGAGGGAGATGCAACACAACCATTACATTTAAGGACTTTGAGAACCTAAATGTAAATTCCAAACATTACACCTATGACAACTTTACCCCATACATCCAACATAATTAATTTAAAACAGCCATATTACAGGAGTTATCCCAGCTGGTGCTGGAAGCCATCACAGACTGGCATGTATCCCTTGGGTACAGTAGCCCTTGGACATACCCTGCCTCCATAGAGGATTGAGGGAGGCTGGAGGACTCTGCCGGTCACATCCGTCATTTCATCTTTGACCATTATCCCAAATTCCCGAACATAAGGGTCGGTGTTAAAACTTGCACTCCGCATCTGGAATTAAAAGAATTGATGAAAAACAAGCTCATCACTTGTGTGCAGGGCATGAACACATTCAGTACCTGCCAAAGGCAGGCAAAATTAAGTTCCTCACAACATCTCACTCGTGTTTGATACAACACTCACCAACTTGCTGATCTCCTCTTGACGGTCCGGTGCTGATCTGGCAGTGGCTCGAATCATAGTGGAAGTTTGATTGTCAGTGAGTTTCTTTATGCATCTTTGTCCTGCCACTATGTTGCACACCTAAAATATCCACCACAGAAAGGAAATTAAAAATCAAAATGCAACTGTTTTTTGGTTCGTTGCTGCACTACAGAATTCTGAAGTTGGCTACTCAAAAAGCAGTTTGTCAACATTTGAACCTTTTTCCCTCTGACCCACTTCCCCCAGTCCCAGAATACAGTATTATCCATGAATTTACTTGCCTCCAGAGGAAGGTACGTGTGTTTCTGCTCCTGTCCAACTTGTAAACATGGAAGGTGAGGATAGCGTAAAACTAATTTATGCCTGTCCTTGAAATACTGAGCTACAGTGCATTCAACTGTTTGTCCATTCTCCTGCTGAAGTGGGAATCTATTGGAAAGCAAATATGAAAAGAAGCTGTTACTTCATGCAAAATACTTTCCCACAGTTCCTCAATACATTTCTTGGCATGAGTTAAGCTTATTGAAAGAGCACAAAACAAAGCCTGAACAATGAAATACTAGATTTAGATACCATCAGTTATCTTCTTGTAAAAAGCTGCTTTCAGTTTTTTTTCTTATATTACTTCCTTAAAAATGGGATTCAATAGCTCCATATTCAAGTTATCTGCAAACCTCTGGTTAGTGATTAAAAAGAAACATTTTTTTCCAGAGGAAAAATACATTGGCAATAAGCAAGATTAGAAAGCTGATCCCAACGGGCATTACTGTTCTATTTGAAAGTTGCGAGAAACATCAGGCTACAAACAGGACACCCTGTTCTTCCAATGTTGAAGAAACCCAAAAAAGAAAGGAAGAAAAAAGAAAAACCCAACCAACCAAAAAACTCCCCAAATTCAAAATGAAGCAATTGGTTCAAATGCCATGGCCTTCATTATAGTATAAAACAGAACAAAAAGAACAGCAAAGCTGGGAAAACACTGGTATATTTTAAGGGTATCAACCAAAGACAGCATCATTTTTCAAGTAACTTTTCCTATGTCAGCAATGCAGGCAAGGTGTTTTTCCAGCTTGAGACCAAACATGCTTAAAAAGCAGCAAAATCCTTTACGTTTGGTGGCTTGCTGGTCGTCTGGTGACATTGCACACTCTGTACTTCCTTTTCATTTGTCCACAGTGTGTTATCTCCACCTTTAGACCTAAAAATCGGAAAACACAAATCACCATCTCTTCAAAATCAAGGTGTCAGCCCCTAAACTGCTACACAAGATCACTTAAACTGTGCAGTGAAGCCATTCACTATTTAGCACCAAAATGTATCCCAGAGAGAACTCAAAACCAGCAATTTACAGCCTTAAAATTCAGAGCCCCCGAGCTTCAGACAAAGTTCAACACAGAACTTTACAAACAAGATGAAATCCTAAAGCCCCAGGAGTTCACAGATGACGCTGAGCACATCCTGTGAACTCCAGTTCTGTACCTCCAAGGAAGTCCAGGATGGGGAAAGGACAGAAAGGGCACACAAGCTCCTTGAAACAAAAAACCTTGTTTATATTTTTTGTCTAAACATACAATGTCTGTGAGACCTCCAACTATTGCAGCCAGCCCTGACCTAATGAATCAGGAGTGGGGAAGAAAAAACACCCAAACAGCCTCCAGGAGCTGAAATGAAGCAACTCGGTGCCTGATATTTTTTCAGAACATTTACAACCAACACAAACTCTGGATTTGTTTATACTTTTCGTGCTAACTTCTAGCTGGGCAAAGATAATTTTGTGTGCATTTTGTAGAAACAAGAAAGGAAGGTGCAGGATAGATTTATGGAGTTTTTCTTTTTTAACTTGTTTTCTTTCTGCCAAGAATATCAGGAAGAAGGATTTCCATTTTCCAGGAGAAACCTTGAGTGAACAAAACCAGTAAGACTTCTTCCTCCTGGACTCTTTGCTTCAGTCACTATACAGCAGAATAACTATAATTTACTTCCAGGAGAGTGTATGTATGAAATACACCTAAGCATGCAAAACCACATTGTTAATTATTAGTAAAATATGGAATATAAACATCCTGATATCAGTAACTGGAGTTGGAATTGTACTGTTGAGTGGAACTGGAATATAAAAATCCCAACATCAGCAACTGGAAAAATTTAAGTTTGGGTAATTCAAAAAACATGAAATCCCAATCTTTGTAAATATTTAGAAATCACCAGATTAGGAACTGGAGTATCTTTGTCATGGAACTGGGATTGGCACTACTGATATGTTTCAAAAGTGAAAAATATTAAGCTTTTGTCTCCAAATACAGTGACTGATACAGAAAGTATTTTGCACATGTCATGGTAACACATCAGACAGAATAAAGCAGTTTCATATAATTTATTACCTTTTATTTCTTTGGTAAACTTTACCCTTTGGGAATCTGTCAGAGGTTTTTGTTGTTCTTCAATACTTTTGAAGTCCAGAACTTCACATACAAACTCGATCACTGGCTGTGCTTTGTAAAATGCAGTTGCAGACACTGCAGACAAAAACATTAATGGTGTGTTGCAACAACACAGAGGAAAGTTTAAAGAACATTTTAAAGAACATTTTAAAGAACATTTTAAAGAACA